TTTTTCCCTTTATGAGGCTATAGTTGGATTGTTTCCCTAATGACCTCCAAAAATGTTTGCCTTCTTTCCGTGTATCCACTCACATAGGTGGTGCTCTCGTAAGGAGCTTGGTCATATGATTCGCTTTGGACAATGCGACATTAGGAAACATGATGCGAGCAGAGGCTTTGAACACCCACGCACACTGAGGTTTTTTTCTCTAAATACTCCTGGGCATACTTCTACCACTATTTGAAGAATGTCAGGGAGCCTAATAGAAGATGAAATCACACACGCAACAGAGACAGAGACAAGCTGTCTAGAACAAGTTCTTAGTCACCCACCAGCTGACTAGAGTTGCACAAGGGCTCTAGGTAAGGCCACAAGTAGAAATGTCCAATTGAGTTCAGATAAAAATTTTTGATCCTCAAAACTTTGAGTAAATTAAGTGCTGGTTATTATTTAAAGTCATTAAGACTTTCAAGAGGTTTGTTACACAGCAAAGTCTAAGTGATACAGAATTTTAAAGGCGCTCTTAAAAAATACAAAGATTAAAATTGGGCATGTGTGTGTGCACAGTATGAAAAGTGAAGTGAAAGTTTTAGTCATTCAGTCACGTTTGCCTCTCTGAGACTCCCATGAACTGTAGCCCACCAGGCTCCTCTGCTGATGGAATTCTCCAGGCAAGAATGCTGGAATGGGCAGCCATTCCTATATTCAGGGGATATTCCCCACTCAGGGATCGAACCTGGGTTTCCTGCATTGCAGGCTGATTCTTTATCATCTGAGTCACCATGGAAGTCCTGTGTATATAGTGTGTTTGTACATATACATATAATATAATTTTTCATATAATTGCTTGTAATTCTTTCCCAAGAATGGCAAGTCAGGAAGAAAGAAGAAATACTCAAAATGCCTTCAAAGTTTCCAAACAGAATTTACAGAATTGCTCCTAAAAAGAAATTATTCTTGGCCAAAAGTGAAACCTCTACTCTATGATCAGATAATGACAGAGAACCATAGGACATCTCCAGCAAAGAAAGCACAGATTTTGACTTTTCTCTTGATTAAGAGCATAGTTATACATCCCACATTTCTGTACATTACAAGCAAACTCTAGTTTCTTATTTCCTTTATGTATCATTTTAAATACAGTTACATTTCCTAGAATTCACATTCTCTTTACAAAAACATTAATGTGTAATTCCATCCCTCCATCGTATTTTTTCTGTTCCCAGTTTTTTTTTTTTTTTAAAAAAACAGATGTCTGATGATGTAGAGTTTGGATCCTGCTTTCCATCATGCCAAATGTTGTACACTTATGGAGAGAACTCTGTATGTGAAGTTCAAGGGAAGGAAAATGTTGTGCTCCATAACTTAGGTACTAGTCATAATATTTAATAAAATATAAACTGCCAATAAATAGAACCACATAAAAGTGTTCCTCTGTATATTTTCACTACCCAGAATGATCCTACTAAAAGCTGAAATATAGAAATTAACAGAAGGAAAGCAAATGATTTAAGAAGTTGGATAAAATAACTTGCTCTCCTAAGATAGTATTCATTTGTCCACACCCTGTTGATATTTCTTTGGTTCCAATGGGATCCCTGGAGGAGGTGCACACAGGGAAAGAGGAAATGAGACTCTGCTCCTAAGAGTGCCAATCATAACTGCACTGTCCATAAAGATGTTTGCGTTTGCCTTTCAGGAATGTTTTTCTAAAGATTAGCAACCATTAACCATCAGTAGGCTAGATTCTTCTAGGGAAAATCGGAACCCATATATAAAAGAGTGCTCAGGGAACGCTATTCGAGCAAATCATTTGCCATTCAAATAACATCCAAGAAACGATCTAAAATGTAATTAATTAAAATATTATTTATGTCTTATTAACTGGTATTCACAGATTGCTAATCATGTCAAAGTTTCTCTAAATGAGTGGGTACCTGAATTTTTAATTTCTGAGACAAATACAATTTCAAAAATATTCTGAGCTGTTGGGTAGATATTTACCAATGATCTAGGTGCCCTTGCGCCTACCATGTCTCAGCCCCCTTAAATTTAAGTGGTACCATTGAATATTTTCAGACATTAGAGTGTAAATGGAAGTGACATGGGTCATTTCCAGGTGAAAACATTTAAAGGTCAATGCATGAACCTTCAGCTTCTTCTTACCTCTTGCCAAGGACACCACATGTCAGGATGCCAGAAGGTCAGACTGGGTCCTGACTGATTATTTGGAATACTGGACTTGCAAAGTTAGTATGGAGAGTGAACAAATAATGACCTTTATTCTTATGTCATTCGGATATGAGGGTTAATGTATTACTGTGACATAAACCCTATCCTGAGCAATAGAGGAAACTAACATGGGGTTCCCAAATTTCTATTATGTAAAATAAGGAGATTTTAAAAATAAACAAACAAGATGAATGGAGCGAGTAAAATGGAAGCATATACACTGACATATGTAAATAAATAGCCAATGGGAATTTGCTGTAGGATGCAGGGAACACAAAATGGGGCTCTGTAACAATCTAGAGTGTGGGATAGGGTGGGAGGTGGAAGGCAGGTTAAAAAGGGAGGGGACATATCTACACCTATGGTTAATTTATGTTGATGTATGACAGAAATCAAATCAATATTGTTTAGCAATTATCAATCAATTAAAAATAAATGAGTATAAAAAACAAACAAAAGTCCTCTCTATATGCCATCATTATATAAAAGAAATAATACTTTAAAAACAAAAAAATAAGAAAGATACAATCACAGAACAAATGATGATTCCATAAACTGAATAAACAGTTTTCTTTAAAATATGACTATTTTTATTCTTCAGAGAGTCCTTGGTGGGGCTGCCTGCAGTGCGGGAGACCTGGGTATGATCTCTGTGTTGGGAAGATCCTCTGGAGAAGGAGATGGTAATCCACTCAAATATTCTTGCCTGGAGAATCCCATGGACATGGGATCACAAAGAGTCAGACACGACTGAGCGACTTCACTTCAATTTATTTTATTCTTCCTTAATTATATCATTATGCTGGGCAAAAGCTTCATCATGAAAGAGAAAATTGATCTTCCCAATGATATTTGAGAATCACAGATCTAGATATCTAGAATTACAGATCATGATATCTACGCCATGGTGTGGTCACTCTTCTAGAGCCCAACATCCTAAAATGGAAGTGAAGTGAGCCTTAGGAAGCATCACTATGAACAAAGCTAGTCGAGGTGATGGAATTTCAGCTGAGCTATTTCACATCTTAAAAGATGATGCTCTTAAAGTGCTATACTCAATATGCCAGCAAGTTTGGAAAACTCAGCAGTGAGTTTTCACTGGACTGGGAAAGATCAATTTTCATTCCAATCCCAAAGAAAGGCAATGCCAAAGAATGTTCAAACTACTACACAACTGCATTCATCTCACACGCTAGCAAGCTAATGCTCAAAATTCTCCAAGCTAGGCTTCAACAGTACATGAACCAAGAACTTCCAGATGTTCAAGATGGATTTAGAAAAGGCAGAGGAACCAGAGATCAAATTGCCAACACCTATTAGATCAAATTCCATGAAAACATCCACTTCTGCTTTATTGACTAAACCAAAGCCTTTGTCTGTGTGGATCACAACAACCAGGAAAATTCTTCAAGAGATGGGACTACCAGACCCTGCCTCCTGAGAAATTTGTATTCAGGTCAAGAAGCAACAGTAAGAACTGGGCATGGAACAACAGACTGCCTCCAAGACAGGAAAGGAGTACATCAAGACTGTATATCCTCACCTCACTTATTTAACTTCTATGCAGGGTACATCATGAGAAATGCTGGGCTGGATGAAGCACAAGCTGGAATCAAGATGGCCAGGAGAAATATCAAAACCTCAGATATACAGATGACACCACCCTTATGGCAGAAAACGAAAAGGAACTAAAGAACCTCTTGATGAAAGTGAAAGAGGACAGCAAAAAAGCTGACTTAAAACTCAACATTCAAAAATCAAAGATCATGGTATCTGGTCCCATCGCTTCATGGCAAATGGATGGGGAAACAATGGAAACAGTGAGAGAGTTTGTCTTCTTGGGCTCCAAAATCACTGCAGATGGTGACTGCAGCCATAGAATTAAAAGATGCTTGCTCCTTGGAAGAAAAGCTATGACCAACCTAGATAGCATATTAAAAAGGAGAGACAATTTGCCAACAAAGGTCTGCATAGTCAAAGGTATGGTTTTTCCAGTACTCATGTACGGATGTTAGAGTTGGATCATAAAGAAAGCTGAGTAAGGAAGAACTGCTGCTTTTGAACTGTGGTGTTGGAGAAGACCGGAGAAGGCAATTGCACCTCACTCCAGTACTCTTGCCTGGAAAATCCCATGGATGGAGGAGCCTGGTGGGCTGCAGTCCATGGGGTCGCTAAGAGTCAGACACGACCGAGCGACTTCAGTTTCACGCATTCTAGAAGGAAATGGCAACCCACTCCAGTATTCTTGCCTGGAGAATCCCAGGGATCAGGGAGCCTGGTGGGCTGCTGTCTGTGGGGTCGCACAGAGTCAGGTACGACTGAAGCGACTTAGCAGCAGCAGCAGTTGGAGAAGACTCTTGAAAGTCCCTTGAACTGCAAGGAGATCAAACTATTCAATCCTAAAGGAAAACAGTCCTGAATATTCATTGGAAGGACTGAGGCTGAAGCTGACATTCCAATACTTTGGCCACCTGATGTGAAGAACTGACCCTTTTGAAAAGACCCTGAAGTTGGGAAAGACTGAAGGCAGGAGCAGGAGGTGGTGACAGAGGATGGGATGGTTGGATGGCATCACTGACTGGATGGACATGAGTTTGAGTAAACTCCAGGAGTTGGTGATGGACAGGGAGGCCTTGCGTGCTGCAGTCCATGGGGTCCCGAAGAGTCTTACATGACTCAGCGACTGAACTGAACTGATCTAGATATTTTTTAAATGGTGAGAGAAGATTGTTGACCCAAAGCAATTAAAAATACATAATGACAATGTCCAACATTACCTGTCGTTCAGTGAGATCCAGATTCACTGCTATCTCATATCGCCTCAGTCTGGTCAGATAATTATGATGGGCAAATTCTGCTTCAAGTTCTCTGATTTGCTCTTTGGTAAAAGCTGTCCTTTCCTTTCTCGGTTTGCTGTTGACTTCTGACTTGTAATTTCCTTCCTGGGAGTCTGGGGGAAAGAAAAGTAAGAGAATTAGATTTAGTTCATTCATTCAAACACATTCAATCATTTCATTTATAACAGAAACATTTACTGAGTAACTACTTTTCCAGGTACTCTATTAGACACAGTAAAAATAGAAAGAAACCAAAGACAGTAAGATTTATCTCGACAGGGTGAGATAAATTGCATTTTTTTCCAATGTGCCCTGAGGTGACTCACAGCCTAATTGGGGCTGTGTCTAGTTTTCTTCTTTTGGAATATCAATATAAACAAAAATGCTTAACTGTTCTTAATATGCTTCCCTGGTGGCATAGATGGTAAAGAATCTGCCTTCAATGCAGAAAACACTGGTTCAGTCCCTAGGTTGGGAAGATCCACTGGAGAAGGGAATGGCAAACCACTCCAGTACTTGCCTAGAGAATTCCAAGGACAGAGGAGCCTGGCAGGCCCCAGTCAATGGAGTCACAGAGTCAGACATGACTGAGTGACTAACACTTTCACTTAATATGCTATTATAATATTAATAACAAGAAAAAACAAAGACTTTCTAGTAAACAAGTTTTTATCTAAAACTATTCACATACAAGATTTCTTCTAAGAAGTTTTTCAACATAAATTCTTGAGTTCTAAGTTTAATTGAATAGAGGGATCCTAAAAATAGTGGTGACTCAGTATGTGATTATTTGAGAAATTCAAATATTTAGCAACTAGACCACAAAAGTTAGTTCAAGCTTGGACTAAACATACATAAGTGTGTATACTTAAGTGTGTGTGTGTATGAGTGTGTGTGTGTGTGAATTTATTGCCTTTTTAATTTTTATTTAAGTGCAGTCTCCTTAAAGGCAATAACAATGCTCTATTTATTCTTGTATAATTCTTAGGGCAGCGTGGAATCTATAAATAAAATTTTGCTCATTTAACTCAAAATATGAATAGAATTTTAAATGACTTTTCACTAGATATGATATAAACATAGGACGCATAACATCTAACATAGCTAGCCAAACACAACATTTTATAATGTCCTATACAGTATATCATGGCATTTTTTCTTCTAAGAGTTCAAAACATAATTAACATAGACTATTTTTTAAATCAGTCTCCCCCTGTGGCTCAGCAGTAAAGAATCTTCCTGCAGTGCAGAAGATGGGGGTTCAATCCCTGGGTCAGAAAGATCCCCTGGAGAAGGAGCAACCCACTGTGGTATTCTTGCATGGGAAACCCCATGGTCAGAAAAGCCTGGCAGGCTTCAATTCATGGGGTTATAAAAGAGCTGAACATGACCAAGTGACTAAACAGCAAAAGCTAATCTTACTTGTCCATATAATATCCCTGAGATGTAGGTTAGAAGACATTCTTAATATTCATGCATATCTATAGTGAAAAAAATTCTACATATACAAGTAATATATAATCATACCAGCTCTAATAATTCATGTCAAATTTATCCTCAGTGAAATATAAACATAATCAAGATAAACTAGCATGTCTGTATACTCTCGAAAATTCAGTTTTCTAGTTGTTTTTGAGCATCTACATATAAATAGTAATACCATAATCACATAGGGATACAATGAACTCTTCTATGAAGCGAAATGAGATAAATGATATAGAAAAAATAATGGATCAATCAGATTACCATCAGATTACCTAAAGAGGGACATTTTTTTTTAAACTGACAAATGTAGTAAGGTAGTAATGTAGTAAGTAAATATAGTAAATGTAGTAAATGTAGTAAAGATTTCCTAAAGGAAATCAGTCCTGAATATTCATTGGAAGGACTGATGCTGAAGCTGAAACTACAATACTTTGGCCACCGAATGCGAAGGACTGACTCACTGGAAAAAACCCTGATGCCGGGAAAGATTGAAAGCAAGAGAAGGGGATGACAGAGGATGAAATGGTTGGATGGCATCACCTACTCAATGGATATGAGTTTGAAACTCATGTCTCCGGGAGCTGGTGATGGACAGGGAGGCCTAGCATGCTGCAGTCCATGGGGTTGCAAAGAGTGGGACAGGACTGAGTTACTGAAATGAACTGAACTGAACAGCTTTATGAAGGGCCTTTTAAAGCAATATTTGTTTCTTCATCTAATGATATTTAAATATGCTATGTGCAAAGATGTTGGGTCTTTTTAGTGCTCTTTTTCTGTCTGGCTGAGGGAAGTCTAACTGAAGTTAAGAGGGGCCTGCATAATGGAAATCCACTAGACAAGGTGCCCTAAGCTAAACAGTTTCGATTTGATTCTTACCAGAATCAAAGCAGGCCAAATGCTAAATTTTCTAGGTCTAAGTAGCAGCCCTGGGTGGGAAAGATCCCCTGGAGAAGGAAATGGCAACCTACTCCAGTATTCTTGCCTGGAGAATTCCATGGACAGAGGAGCCTGGCAGGCTACAGTCCATGGGGTCGCAAAGAGTCTGATATGACTGACCGACTAACACACACACACACACACACACACACACACACAAGTAAGCAGCAGTGGCAATAGGTTCACATCAAAATTTTGGCACGCAGGGCCGTTACTTTTTCTCTGAGGGATCATGGGCGTGTTTCACTGAACGGTACGGTGGCGCTGTCGGAAATTCTTTAGACTCATTGATCGCATTTCCGGGCTTGTCACAGAACCCCGTGTTGACTGGCTCCCTACCTTAGCAGGGCAGGCAGGCTTTATCCGGTGTGAAAAGTGGTTTGAGATATGTCAGACACAGTCTGACTGTATTTTAATGTAAGCCACTGGGACTGGATGAGTTACTTATTAAATGATGTGCGAACTCTCAGTTCGGCTGTATTTACACGATGCCAATTTACCTGGCTCTAAGTGGAACCTGCTGTCCATTATCCACTCTTTTAGCTACAGATTTGCAAACTTCCACATCTTCGGTGCATTTTGCTATTCTGGTAACGTGTGAACAAAACTTTCCGATGATTGCTTTCTTTTTTTTCCCCTTAACTTTTCCATGGGCTGTTCTGGCAGAGGCAAACTCAGTCACAGCCCAGAATATTCAGATAGGTTCCTCTCACAAGGATGCATGTTCTCACGTGAATCAAAAGTATTTTTGCTAATTTGGAGCCACATTCAGTTTGAAATCTGTGGCTAATTATTCTTTATGAGGGCACAATGCTTTACTCCCTTCAGTAATATTAAGTCAAAACTGACAGCAAAGCCAGAGCATTTTTTCTCATGAGCAATTCAATTTGAATGATTCATGGTTAACACATTCCCTTACATAAGCATGAATGAACAAACTCACATTGAGGAAAGCCTATTAAGTGGTGTTTATTTTTGAAACCAATTTCTTTTAACTTCCTCAGTATCCAACAGTACTTCAAAAATACCACAGACACACACAAACATACAAAACTTGGGCCAGTACTTGGAAGAAGGATTACATGTAGTGTATCTATCTATATGCATGCCCTCTGAAACTAGAAATATACAAGAAGATGGTTTATACATCCAATGATTGAATTTGAACAAAAGTCTGGCTATAATTCAACATTTATATCCAAAAGCAACTTAACCAACCGCCTGAATTCCAAACCTAAGTAGCTCACAAAGTGAAATCCAATGACTAAAACCATGTGAATTGTGCACAGTTACATTTACAATGATCACCCAGGAATAATTATATTGTGATTAACATGACAAAGAGTGGGTATGTGCATCTTGACTTCATTACCTAAAAGAGACTGTCAGTGCAATTGAAGTAGAATAGCACCAATGTCAATTAATTCTGTGGGCACTTACACCCTTGGATCTATGATTCTGTAGTGGTTTCCACCCATGATGCTCCCACTTTTTCCTTCCTATTAAAAACATGCTCCTTGGGATTGCATTTCTGGACTTCTATAATCTTGGATTTCAAACATGTTTTGGACTTTTCTTGCCTGCACTTTCCAAAGTCTATCATTTGCTGTCCCTTAAGCTCCTTCTACCTTCACCTGACTAACTCTTCTTTGGTGGAAAATGGGTGGGAGCCTTGGACGAGGCTTTTGGCAAATGGCACATTAGCTTCCATCTGTTTCCCAGCTGTTTCAACCGAGGCTAAACTCCCTCCGTTTTCTTCAGCCTCCCATATCCTATGCCAAATGGTAGGTGTTGAGGGAGGGGAGTCTGGAAACTGCCTTCCTTTCTTCCCTACAGCCACAAACAAAATGTCACCATCTGTACAGTACATTGCAATGTAAAATATTACAATTGTTATTTCTCGTCTCAGATACTTTAATGCACACGTGGGTGCACTCTCACACTCCCTCGTCGCTTGGAGGAAATGTTGACTTATGTGTTCAGGTAGAGCTGGCAGTCCCAGTTCCCTAACCTTTTGCTCCCTGGGACTATGCTAATGGAAGAAGTCTGCAATACTTCCGTGGAGGATAAAAATTGCCCTCCAAGGATCATTTCTGTCTAGCACTTAGAACTTCTCCACATGTGACTTTTTATTTCCCCTAGTGCAAGAGGATGCCAAAAGATAATAATGTTTTATGGAAGACAAGTAATGTAAGGGCTTGGTCTGTTCACTAGTGGCACAGGATACCTCTTAGCAAAAGAGAAATAATAAAGTCTGATTGAGTATATTTTTGGCTACCCTGAATAAACTTATTAACTCGTTTAAATGAAGAACATAATTTACCAATGTCTGTAAAAATATCAAAATGTAAAGGAATGCTCTTATAACTCAGACTAAAATGAATACTTATTTCATATTCTGAAGAAAGAATGAATGCTAAGCCACAGTCTATTCTAGTTCTTTGTAACTTTTTGTATTAATGTTTTGTAGGCTATTCAAAATGAGAAATGCTCTGCTATTAACAAAGCGCCACAAATAGCAGATATTGGAAGCTAATGATTATATTTACAGAGGCATAGGAATTGTGGATACAGGTAGGGAACTTTATAGAATAATCCTCTTGTTGCTAGTAATTTTCACATTTAAACGGGAAATCACCTGTCTTATGAGAAACGTATCCAACTTGCTATTCAAGATTTTTAATGAGTGGGC